CTCCCCTGTCACGGCAGAGAGCCGTGACAGGATCGAGAGGTGAGCGAACGCCGGTATGTATTCGCTCACTTCCCGATCTACTGAGCCGACCTGTGACAGTCTCATTGTCACAGGTCGGCTAGAACTATGAGGTGAGTGAAAAGCACTCACCTCATAGTTCTCCTTTAACTTGAAAAGTGCTTGCCATTGCACTTAGATTTCCTAACATAAAAAGCAGGGCTGGACAAATCCCGTGAGCCAGGTCGCCAATGCTCCTTAAAAATACCACTAGTGCCTAACTTTTTAGATTTTTTTTTCTAGTTGCTGTCAATGGAAATGACTCCCACAAACATCCTGCTGGCACCTGGACTGTACAGACCGGCTCCTGAATTCCACATTCGTGTGTCCACACCGGATATAAAAGCTACTGACCTGATCTCATTCTGTTTCTCAGGCTTCTTGGATTTCAGAGTGGCCGTTTTTCTCGGTACGTTGTCCGCTGCATGTTGTTTTTTCCTTTGCTCTAGTTTAGAAAAACATGACAAATGTTAATCTGACCGCCCTGCTGATATTGTGGAGCTCCTAAAGTGAACCTTATATCAATAAAACTCAGATTTCACATGTAATAAAAGAGCACAGGTCAGCAATACAAAATCGAGATCTTTAGAAAGCAAAGTGAAAAAATACTCCTTGCCATGCGGAGAATAAAAAAATGCAGCCTTGTTTCATGTCACACCCTAAATATGGGTGAACCGTGGCCCTGAAATGCCTTTAAAAGTAGTATTACATGTTTTCCAATAATGAATCCAGACCAAACAAATATACATTGCCCAGCAAAGGATTTCTTTACATTTTTTTGCCAAAAAAATTACAGTCATCATGTTTCCTAACACTTGGCACCAACTCTCTCAGCTCAGCTTCCTTGAACTTCCTGTCTAGTACAAGATCAAAGAGACAGCAGTCTCCAACAGCTGTTCATCTACCAGCTAAGAAGAGAAGGGAGTACTTTACCATGCTGTGTGTTTGTGGAGACATAAACACACGATGGTGGCTCCATAGGACCCTGCAAGGGAAAGGAGCCACCCTGTGCAGCCCACATCCCCCCGGTGTATTTATTTTAATTCAGAGAGGCTGTGCGTGACTCGAGTGTCGATGTTAAGCCGGACGAAGGGACCATGCGTGGCTGAAAGCGCTTGTTTTTACTTGACATGGTTCTTATTAAATGAACACATGGTTATCCTGATGTTTGGCGTGCTGGTGACATCTCTTCAAATGATCCATGTAACTAGCAGTGTCATCCGCAGTCACTACAAGCACCCTCCCTGGTCGTTGGGGCATCCGGTAAGGAGTGCAACAAGTCTCTATCTACATTCTGTGCATGACTCCACCCACACGGCCCCATAATCCATTCACAGGATCTGTGAATGAAGAAACTACATCTCCTGTCCATCACTACAGCAGAGGGACTCAGATCTCAATGGAGCACAACTGCAGTGACATCACCACACTTCTTCCAGCCCCACAGATGGAGGTTATGTAACCTAGTGCTGGAGGAACAGTCTGCAGGAGCCAGAGCATTGCGCCCGCCATCCACTGATCACTGAGCCTATGCAAACCAATCAGCTTCAGTTTGTTCTGTGAAGTTTTGAAAATGAAACATAGAAGCTGATTGGTTGCCATGGGCTCCAAATTTTGTCTGCTCCAGTTCGCATACATTTGGGGGGGTTTATGCAAACTGGAGCAGACAAAATCTGGAGCAGTTGCTCATGGCAACCAATCAGCTTCTATGTCTGTGTGAACATTCACTTCCTTTATCCAATCATGTGAAAAAACAGTCTGTTCACATTGCGTACCCAATCACGTGCTCTTTCACAAGATTGGACAATTAAATAGAATATTCACACTTAAATTTTTTTGAGCAGATTTTTAATTCCTTTATTAAGTCAGCTTCATTGTAAGAGACTTCATTATAAAAATGGGAGAAAATCAAAATAGGTACAAAGTCAGAGTACTGTCCATTCTGACCAATCAGGTTTTACTTTTGTTCTAGGGACGCAAAACGAAGAATGTGATTGGTCCAAATGAACCCTGCGCCAAAAGCAGGTCCGATACATTATTTGTCATTCCCTTATACTTGGTGGACAGTTTAGGAAAGATCCAGGCGTTGTCAGAGCACATAGCTTGTAGGGAAGGCTGGGTGGTGAGCCGGAACACACTAGCAGAGGACATGCAGGGGGCTCACACAATACCCGAGGACCACACAAACAGCATTCTCACCGTACTGCCGCTCACCTGTACGCCCGGACTGCATTCCCCTTCGCACCGCTGTCACCTTCGCCATCTCTCCGCTCACAGAACACCGTCTTTCGCTAAGCCAGTTTGAAAATCGCTCGGCTATAGAACCGCCCCTCTCTTCACCCCCTCTTTGTGCGATTGGCTGCCGTTTATACTGTTCTCCAATCACAACTCTCCATCGGAATGCGGGAAGCTGTGGTTGGCTAAAAGGTATGGGCGTGCTTGTTATTGTCCCTTCGCCAATCAGTTCAAAAAATGTATGCCACGTGATATATAACTTTACTCTTCAGAACCAATACGGCACGGGTTTAACTACGATGGGCGTAGGCTACACCCCAGCTAAAGGTTCATGAATGATTGCAGCTTAGGTCAAGAACAAATCCATTCACTCGGTTTTTTTTTCTTTTCGGCCAAAATATATATCGCAGAGGTTATTGAGAAGTACCACGTCCCAGAAAATCCATATAGCTCAAAATATGAATGAAAGAGGCGGACTTTTAGGTGCCCACTTAGACACATAGTCCGTTTGATTTATTAAAACATATCGTTAGATTTGTCTATACACAATTATAACAAGATCAATAAAAACAATTGTCAATGTGATAGTAAGTGTGGCTCATATTTATCTTTTTGGCACAAAGCCGTCATACATTTCAAGTATGTTTTGTGAACTATGTACGAAGGGTCTGTCCAATCGGTACACTGCTTGCGGTCACGTGATTAGCTGCCAAGCCGACAGCACTGCTTGGAAGGGAAAGTTGGTAGCCTGTCACTAGTTTCTTTAGCGGCCAATCATATGTTCTAACATGTTTGGAAATATCTGTCTCCGCACAGGAGCCATTTTGTTGTCTCCTTTCCCATAGGTTTTTATAGGAACTTGAGCTTCAAAAAAATGGCTGTCGTTCTGTTTCTCTGTTCTTGTTTTCAGGGACGGGTTTGTTTTCACACTCGTGTATTGCCGCTTCCTGCTGAAGTCAGAGCCTGGGTCTGGTTTCCCTATTAGTGATACGGTGTCATCTGTGGATATGGACCGCTTCTCGTGGTGCACCGGGCTGCTGGAGATGGAGGAGACACTGGTGATCCAGCAGCGAGGGGTGCGCCTGTCAGATGGGGAGGATAAGGTCAGTAGACAGGACTGGCTGTCATAGCTGTAAACTATTATTCATCTACACAGGGAGGGAGACTACAGCTGGCCATACAGTATACGATCTGAGTGTGCAATCTGCTTTACATCAACAAGGGCCTGATTACATACACATTGCTTGGACTGTTTCGCCTTATAGTAAAGGAGTTAAGTTCCAGCATATCCTCTCCTGTTATGACATCAGCATTGTAATAGGAATACACACTAGTTGTTGATAATACAATCAAAGCTTACATGAAAAAATACCTTTTATGTAGTGAGTGCTGTCTTCTGTCTGCCCATCACTTTCAACAACTTCCTGTATTCCTAGTGTGCTTTGCATCTCTTTCCCTGCTGCTTGATGTGATGCAATCTCCATATCTCAAGACTGCATATCCCATCATGCATTGCTTCCAGCAAGCAATGATAATGTTACATTGTTCAGCTGTTGAGTTGTAGTTCAGAAGGCAGGCTCTGTGAGAGTGGTGACACAAGGAAGTGCATATTTACAGGGCTGAGTAATATTCTGTCAGTACATTCAGGAAGTGCATCCTATGGACATCTTTAATAAGTAAGTTTACAAACTCCTAGATGGATATGGATATTAGGAGCTGGATAGAACTTATGGAAATTCAATTCAGAAATACAGATTTATTTTTCGGTTTTGCCCATAGATACCCTTTAAATCTACAGAAGATTATATGGAGATTATACAATCTGGTTGTATCGTGTATGGCCAGTTTACCAGCTCAGGTGGACTTTAGATTACAGTGGTACCTCGGCTCACGAACTTAATTCATTCCACGATTCTGGTCCCAAACCGAATCAAATTTCCCCATAAGGTGGGCTAGTGTGCACAGTTCTGTCTGCGCAATCTCAACTAGAGGAAGCCACGACCAGTGTCAGAGCAGGGAAGATGGCCGCGGTTGTGTTCGTCACCCAATTTGGAGAATTGCGAACGGAAGCAAAATGTTGCTGAACTTCCTGTTCATGAACCAAATTGTTCGCAATGAGAAGCGTTCGTGAACTGAGGTGTTACTGTATTGCCCTTTACCCCATTCATGACTGAGGCCTTTTTTTCATTTTTTGCACCCATGTTATATTCCACATTTTAGGCCTGAAAATGAAAATGTTTATGTTGCACAATATTAGCGCAACTCCTTATCAAACCCCAACATTTTGTGAAAAATGCACTTAAATGCCCCAAAAAACACAATAAAATACCCATTTAAAAAAAATTAAATACAAAAGATGAGGTTACGAGTAAATAAATACCCAACATGCCCAGGTTAAAAATTGCGTGCGTCTGTGAAACGGCAACAAAATTCAGTACCCCAAAAAGTCTATGAACGAAGCTTTAGAAGCCCCCACAGGTCAACAGTTTAGAGATGCCCTAGAATTATTGCTCAGAATGTGTTTACCCGATCTACTGAGCCGACCTGTGACAGTCTCATTGTCACAGGTCGGCTAGAACTATGAGGTGAGTGAAAATCACTCATCTCATAGTTCTCCTTTAAAGTGCACCTGTCATACCCAAAGTGTGTTTACAACAATTAACTTCTCTGATTTGCACTAATTTGGTCTCCTCATTATACCAGGAAGTGTTTTGTTCTCTCTCCGAAATTGCAACATAAACCAAAAGAAAAAAAAAAAAACCTGTTGACCTTGTCAGACACTCAGGGCTAGTTCACACCAGCCTTAGTGTGCACTGGATCGCATTCTGGCCGGCTCACTTTGTTGTGGGGCAGGAGGGGAACTCAATGGCACCGCAGCCACGCCCTCCGGCCGCACGGGAGCGCGTCTCGCCTGCGTTCCGGTCCAGTGCAGTCGATTCTGGCCGTAACGCACTGAGGCTGGTGTGAACTAGCCCCCAGTGTAGTCCTGTTAAGACTTCCGGTGTTATAGCAAAGTTCCTAGTTCTCATCCTGGACTACAAAATGATCTGCCTTAAAGGAGAACTATGGGGTCAGTGTTTTTCCCCATAGTTCTCCTTAGGGTAACGGGAGGACACAAACTAGCGCTGGCAGATCGGAGCGGGGAGAGGGGAATCCAGCCCCTCCCCCTGTCACGGCAGAGAGCCGTGAAAGGATCGAGAGGTGAGGGAACCCGGTATGTTTTCGCTCACCTCCCGATCTACTGAGCCGACCTGTGACAGTCTCATTGTCACAGGTCGGCTAGAACTATGAGGTGAGTGAAAAGCACTCACCTCATAGTTCTCCTTTAACCCCTTCATGTAAGCCCCCCCATGTGATAGCAGTCAAAGTAAAGTAAAAAAAAAAAAAAAAAAGTTTTTTTTAAATTAAATTTAAATAAAATAAATCTAAAAAAAAACAAAAAATTAAAAGTCCCCCGCCCCCGCGAGCACGCGCGTCGCATGTTATAGAGATCTGAGAGTGGGAGGAGTTGAGTAGTTTAGCAAAAGGCACTGAAGGTCTGACCCAAATGTTGTTGTCAGCCCAGGGCAGGACATCGGTAAACCTAAATCATTCGCTAACTTATGGAAATCATTCATACTGCACAGAAGATACAACAATGTGAGCAAACTAGTGTTATAAGAGAAACATAATATCATTTGACCTTTTCACTGCCAGCACCGTATCCATTATGGTACCGCCTGTGCGCCCCTGTAAACAGACATAGCCACCAGGACTCTGGTTTTCTATGTCGGCTTTGTACAGGCAGCCATTCTGGCAGCTCAGCTGCCACCAGATCGCTTCCATGGGCCACCAAACCGCTCTCCCCCGGCCCACCCAACACTCCCTCACCTTGCTTCCCAGACTTTGCTGCCCCCCCAGCTTGTGAGCCCCCCTATGTGATAGCAATGAAGTTCAAAGAGAACTATGGGGTAACATTTTTATGCCATAATCCTCTTTAGGGTCATAGAAGGACATATACTAACCTCCTCCTGTGACCCAAAGCTCAGTATATAGCGGGCTATATACTGAGAGCGCCGCAGCCAGGAGGGATTCCGACAATACCTTTTTGAGATCCAGCTGGCTGATTGACAGCGCACTCTGCCTATCTAGTGGCAGAGCCAGCTGTGCCCGCCCCATCCCACATCTGTTCCTCCAGTCAGCGCTGGAGGATCGGAGAGGGGAGGGGGGAACCGATGCGGGGAGCATTGACTGACAGTCACCGTTCTCTACAAGGAGATGATCCATAAGTTAGTGAGCGACGGTATGTTTCTGCTCACTTCCCGATCAATAGAGCCGTCATGTGACAGTTTCATTATCACAGGTCGGCTCTAACTATGGGGATGGGTGGAAGTCACTCTCCTCATAGTTCTCACAGGCATTCGCAATTTATAACCTGGGCATGTTGGGTATCTGCATACTCGGCACAACTTCATCTTTTATATTGTTCAAAAAATTGGGTATTAAGTTGTGTTTTTGTAAACTACAAGCGTACAGATTCCAATTGTATTTTTTGCTGAAATTTTGTACCTAATAAAGAGTAGAGCTAATGTCATGCGGCATAAAAATTTGCAACTGCCACCATTTTATTCTGCAGGGTCTGTGCTTTCAGAAATATGTAACGCTCGGGGGTTTTAAAGAAGAGCTCCAGGAATTTTTTTATGAGCCCTTGCAGTGGGACTACGCCCTCCACTGCAAGGGTTAAGTGCTCGTTTGTGCCTAGGTTAAGCAACAAAAAAAAATAAGTTACACTCACCCAATGCTCCCAGCCGGCTACTTCTTAGACTGATCCTTCTAGTGTCCTCCTCCGTCCCTGCAGCGGTCTAAGGTCCCGTAAATCATCATGTCTATACACTGCGTATAGATGTGAGGACGCTGAGGAAGATTCCAATGCGGAGGAGGAGACAGGCTGGAGGGAGCGCTGTCACAGATGGCCGGCTCGGAGCTTCAGATGAGTATATATTTATTTTAGCCCCAGTGCAAGGGTTAATAATACCTGGAGTTCTTCTTTTAGTAATTTTCAGGCCTAAAATGTGGGTTAAAGCGTGTGCAAAACCCCCAAAAATGGCTCTAGCAGCAAAATGGTTAATTCATGTTTTGTTGCATCATGCAATTTTTTTTGCTTTGACCAATGATGGATGGATTTTCTGCAGTGACATCACTGTTGTGGACTCTACTTCCTGGATTTCTGTGTCTTGTGTTGAGGAATCTGATGACAACGAGATGGGAATTCATAGAAACTAGAGCAGACAGAATCTGGAGCAGTTGCCCACTGCAACTGATCTCCCCTCCTGCCATCTGTCCTTGTAGTGATGGTGAGAGATCATACAGGAGGGGAAGGCTGCGAAACTCTGACTCCTGCAGACTCTTTCTCCTGTACAGATCTGTAGCTTGGTACACACATTCAGTGATATAGACGGGAGGAAGAATGAATGGGCTACAAGGGTGGTGATGTCACCGCACTTGCATTCCATTTGAGAACTTTAAGGGCAGGTTCACACCATTTTCCGGACCAGATCTGGTCCGGAAAATGGTGTGAACCTGGCCTCCGTTCCAGTGCATGCCAGACCAGACAAAATGAGACATGCAGTATTTTTCTGGTCTGGTCTGGAACGGACTGCGCTGGTGTGAACAGAGGCCAGAAATAGCATAGGGATACATTAGGATGCATTTTGGGTCCGGAAACAATCTGGTCTGGTCTGGAGATTATCTGGAAGTGGTGTGAATAGGACCTTAGTCCCTTTGCTGTGGTCAGTGATGGAAATTGTAGTTTCTCCATTCACAGCTTTTGTGAGTCCTCAAGTTTGATTTGAGGATTTCATTATAACTTTGCTCTTTATTTAGCTATATTTAAACATGATTTGCATCTAAGCCTTTCCTTTGTAGTTGAAGCAATAGAACAAACATAACTAGGCCGAAAGCCTAACTCCAGACCAATGTTTTTTTTTTTCTTGGCCACAAGGTGTCAGCGTGGCCTTGAATTTGTCTTTTTGGTCCAATCACTCTGTGAAACTCAGAATTTTACCGTGCAGGCTATTGTGAACCAGCCCAAAAAGTTAAACCTAAGCCAACACTTTTTTTTTGTTTTGGATAGAGTAAGGAAGGATCAAGTGTTTTATTTTTTTCCTCTCTGTGTCCCATTGGGGAAATTTCCCTTTGCTTCCTGTCTAATAACTATAAACATGGTCACCAGAACCGATAACTACAAGCCGTTTCACAAGTGTCCCCTTTCCCATCTATTCCTGTTTTGGTGACAACCTTTTCAGTGATAAAGGTCACCAGGACAAGTAGAGAGGGTAAATCTCCCTAAAGGTGCCCAAATCGTCCACGAATGGTCTTTCGAATGATAATCGATCAGTTGATGGGAACACAACAATTTTTATTACTGCACTGAATGAGAAGCCGGAGTGAGATTCAACCTAAAAGCTATCTACCTGTCCCTGAGAATATTAGGCGTACGTACAAATAACCATATACTAGTAATTAGGGATGCACCAAAATTTCGTCCGCCGAAACATATCGGCCGAAAATGGCACTTTTGGCAAAATGCCAAAAGTGCCATCTTTCGGCCGGAATAGCGGTACATCTTTGTCCCCTCTGACATTGCAGCGGGGAGGAGAGAAACTGTCAGATGAGGCAGAGCGATGTGAGCGGCCAGCGTCTCTCCTCCTGAACCGCTCTGCCTCCTGTGACAGATTAGGAGAGCGGCGGTGTATGGGCAGATACATCTGTGAGCGCTGTCACAGCAGGCGGAGCTCTCCTCCCGCCCCGCCTCCTGTGACAGCCGATCCAGGATGGAGAGCGGTACAAGCACTCAGTGATCGCTGAGTGTTTGTACATAATTGAGGACATGGTACGGTTACTATATCCTCAATTATGAATGAATGGGAGTGATCTACATCACCTCCTGTTCATTCATCATTGTGGTTATAGTAAACATACTCTGTCCTCAGGTTATAAATGAACAGGAACACTCAGTATAGAGGCTTCCTGTGCATGCATAACAGGAGCTGCAGAAATAGAGATGGACGACTCTGTGTTCTCAATCTCTTTTTTTATATTTTAAAAGGGAAATATCAGGGGTCTGTTTAGACCCCTAATATTTCCCCAGAGCGAATGACAGTAAAGTTAAAAGATAAAAATATTTAATAAAAATAAATAAATAAAAATACAATATTTTAAAAAATGTAAAAAGTTTATATAAAAATAAAATATTTTGAAAAATGTGAAAAGGTTAGGGGGAAAAAAACATGTTTGGTTTCGGCCTGACATTTTGTTTCGTTTTGACATTTTAATTTCGGTAATCATTTCTCAAAGCCAGTGTCTGCATTTGCTCAGGCATGTCCTAAACCTTCCATGTAAATAATAACCATCGTATATAGAGCGGCCCCAGAGAATGTCACAAGGGTGGAAGGGGGTGAATCTATTCACATGTAAATGGAACTAAGGGAAAGTTGCTGCTTGCATATCACAGCCCGGAGACTCTGGTCACCTCTGGGTGGAGATCTGTGCAGCTACGGGTATGAGCTGACACCTTATGCTGCTCTTGGTTTTATTATCTTGTTTTAGTCTCTAGTTTACTTTACAACTCTGTATTTGTTTTCTCCATAAACTTCATTATTATACCACTTATTTTCTTTTACTTGTTTAACCAGTGCAAGTTTGACATGGGCGCCCTACTTCTGACAACACACAGACTTATATGGAGAGACCAGAAGAATCATGTAAGTAGTTTAAAGCTGAACTCTGGGATAAGCAAATATGGTCTCATTACAAGAGCCATGTGTATTATTACTAGGTGTGCCTTGTGTATTTCCTCCAGCTCTGTGCAGTGATCCAGTGTGAGACTATTCCGTTCTACAGGAGCTTTCTGTAATAAAGACCGGTCACTGCTGTGTGCAGGATGACTGGTCTTGTCTCCTCCCCCTCCTGTAGTTTTCTGCAGGCAGTCTGTAGTGGGTGGAACCTGCTCGGTCCCTCCCACAGCTCTGCTCTCTCAGGCTAGATACAGCACAGTGATGTAGGGCTGCAACAACTAATCGACTAAATTACTAATCGATTATTGAAAAAGTTGTCCATGATTTCAATCATCGATTAATCGGCTTTCGATTAGTTGGCCATGTTAACAGCTCCTCACACGCCGCGCGCCGCACCTCCTCCCCACCTCAAGCTCGCCGCTGCCAAACCCGCCCCCATCCACGCACAGGACTACAAATCCCAGCATTAATACATTATACAGCAATGCAATGCAGAATACCGCCAGCTATAGAGGAGTACAACAAATCCCAGCAATAATCCATTATACAGCGCAATGCGGAATACCACTAGCCATAGAGGACTATTAAACCCAGCAATAGTACATTATACAGCGCAATGCAGACTACCACCAGCTATAGAGGAGCACAACAAATCCCAGCAATAGTACATTATACAGCGCAATGCAGAATACCGCCAGCTATAATGTACTATTGCTGGGATTTGTAGTCCTCTATAGCCGGTGCCATTCTGCATTCATTGCTGTATAACTTTACAGTTTCCATTTCACTATATTGCACCACACTTGTTTTTTTACTTCCACCGCTCCAAGCTTGCTCCTGTGATGGACTACAATCTCAATACAAACTAGTAGTCCATCACTGGAGCCATTTTTTTTTAAATTTTTTTTAAATCCGATTAATCAAACTTAATAATCGGCTAACTAATCGATTTTGAAAATAATCGTTAGCTGCAGCTCTATAGTGATGACATCACATGTATCCATACATTGGTAGTGTGCCCATATACTGGACTGAGCCATCAGTATTTACCTTTCCCACCCAATATGTGCATTTGCTGCAAATTGAATTATGGAATTGGGCTGATCAGTGCACCGTAGGCAACAATGGAGATTATTAGAGGTCACACAAGCTTTGCAATCCTCCTGACTGTGCCGATGTACATAAAACATGTATGCCTGAATCACCCTAAGCTGATTGTAAGTGCTGAGTATGCAGCCCATAGAATGCTCAGTAGAGAAGACAGGAAGACTAAATGCTCTTCTCTGTTAAAGAACACTTTTAATGAAGTTGGTTTTACGATCGGCTTTTCTGATGATCATCAAAATTCTGCCACGTCCAATCATCTTGTCGAAATTGATTGAAAGTTTACTAAATTAATCCAATGGATGGTCTTTCGTTTGCAATTTTTCTTCAGTTCAGCCATTTCAGTCTCGTATGATCATATCCATACATGTGTGACCAGCTTGATGGTTAAGTGCAGATTTCTGACCGTGTTTTATGTTCCACTTTAAATACGGGTGTAACATGAAACATGGTCAGATTGCAGATCAGCTCCTGTTGTCCCCCTCCCCCACACACTTAGCTAATTTGCGGGGTTCTTTTCCTCACAGGCTGCTGCTGGTGTGTGAAATCATTGATGCTGTGCTTGGCTCCACCCACACAGCCACGTCACCCGTTCACAGATTCTTTGACAGGTTCCTGTGACCCCACATTTGTAGTCCATTGACACTTCCTCCCATCCCTTTTACTGCCTGTCCATACCGAGGTATGAACATGGATGGGCGGAACAGTCTGCAGGAGCCAGAGCATTGCACCCACGATCTACTGATCCCAGTTCAGATTAATTACTGACTTCTATGCAAAAAAATTCTAAATGCACATTTTGTCTTTACTGAAGAGAAGTGCTTTTATTATTTTTTTTGTAAAAGGTGGAATTGTCTTTTAGCAGTGCATTTTGTGTGCGCTGTGGATTCTAGGAGTCGCTAGGAGGAGGGCTTTGTGGTAAACGTTCAGTTTTAGGCCTGGTTCACACCTGGGCGTTTTACAGCGCGTTCCTACGCTCTGTAAAACGCTCAACATGTGAAAAATAATGATTGCCTATGGGCATGGTTCCCACCTGGGCGTTTTGCAGCGTGTAGGAATGCGCTGCAAAATGCCTTACGCCCAAAGAAGTACAGGAGCGTCTTTGGGGCATATTTGCCGCGCGTATCCATTGGGATACAGCCAGGTAGCCCTCGGAAACGCGTGTTTGTCGCACTTTTTTTTAACCGCGAATCGCGGTAAAGACGCGCGGCACGAAACGCGCGACAAACGCGCATATTCGATATGCCTAGGTGTGAACCCAGCCTTAGTGATTTGGTTGTCTTTAAAGGGTCTAAAGGCTTGCCCTCATATTCAGATCTAAAAACCACAACTGTCAGACTGTAGCTAACATTACATAAGTCTTTTTGGATCAATAGGAAAAGTGAACTTGGTACTTGGTAAATCATTGTATTGTCTGTTTCCCATTTTTTTTTAGGATTTCTGCATTGCAAGTCCCCTTTCCCAAGTTGTGTTCACAGAAGAGCAGGCTGGAGGCATTGGGAAAAGGTATGCGTTTCATGTTCATTGCATTTGATCTTTTTGAGCTAATGGTGTTAATAATAGATTTACTAAAGGAGTAGATTATATTCACTTTCTACGTGAATTTTCTCTTTGCCAAGTGACTTTTAGCATCCAATCATGTCCAAGCAAAATTCCTGTTTTTTTTTTTTTTTTTTTTAATTATTTCCTTGCACATGATATGTAAAAGATATGTAAAAATTTGCTTTGCAAAGTGAACAAGCTGTGCACATTTAGGTAATCGGGGTAAATGTATGAATAGACAGGGCCACGTTTGGCACCCTGCTAGTTAGGTTCTAGATTGTGCTATATCATGGCCGGGATTTACCACTAGTGATCCACAAGTGGTTGTAACTTGTAAGTTTGTCAGGTGGTGGCTTGTTGGCATAGGGTGCAGGCAGCAGGGATAATGTTTAAAATCAAACAGTGATGCAGTTGTTTGACCAGGGTGACTCCATGCAGCCTTTGTAGCACAGTGTATCATTCGCATCAGTACCTTTTTGTGTTCTCCATTCCCCCCACACTTAACTGTCAGTGTTGTCACCACTGCCAGTTCCCGAAGCGATCCTTCCGTTCCCCGATCTTCCTGGTTGCGTGGGGAGGATACTGAGGGCAGAGGAGCCATAGGATCTGTGACGGACCCGGTACTCAGGATGAGTATGTCCGCCGCTGTCTTCTTCCTTGCTCAGGAGATACTGCAACCCGCTGATCTTTCGCTCCCAGTTTCCCCAGTCACTGGTCGAGACTCAAGTGTAGGGTGAAACAAACTCTGATTTATTGATAAACTGTGCAACCTTTTATACAGAAAGTGATCAGATTATAATCCCATCACATCCCCCTTCCCCTCCCTAGACATTTGGTCTGCACAACCCAGCAGGGGTCCACCTGCTAAAGAGCTCCAGACAGCCATAGCAGAGGCCTGGCCAGAATGTCATTGTCCTGAGCTCCTTCAGAGTACAAAGGGAGATAACAAGGGATGGTGCTGACAGTCGTTTCATAAACAGGTTACCCAGTATAACACATTTAAACATAACCCAACACCAATACACATTTAACTCGTAAACTGGTGACCATATCGTCACAGGCTCCTTCTGCCGTCAATCACCCTTTAGGGAAGAGAGGAGGGGCGTGGCCTGCTGCAGGGCTGTGTGTGTGTCTATGGATGCACACAGCCACTGCCGGAACACGCATGCATGGGTGCCTCAAAAGCAGCTGCTTGGCTGATAACAGCACCTGTGCAGGTGGTGAGTGAATGTGCACTACATAACAAGGAATAGAAGAAAAAAAACAGACGATTTTAGGGCTGCAACCAACTAATTGATCAATAGTGAGAATAGTTGGCTGGATCCCCCAGCTCTCTCCTCCGCGCTGGGAGGAGGGCACAGCAAGCAGTAGGCGGGTGCAATAGCCAGCCTGATATTGGCTATTGCAATTTGAAATGGCCAATAGCAGGCTGGCTATTGCACCAGCCCACTACCTACTGTGTTCACATTCAGCTGCCGTCTGCGGAATCTTGCCACTGGCAGCTGTCATTACCTAGCTAAAGCTATTCAAGTACCATGTGCTTACAATTGAATTATTGAAAAAAAAATGATAAAAGGTAGAAAAAAGTCAAAAAGTATTGGCCACACACTGACAAATTGTGCTGCGGGAGGTGCGTTGCAGTGCCATTCATGTAATTGGCACCCCAAACACGCCTCCCACAGTGTGATCGCCCGTACTGGAGCGCACAGTACCGCCATACGTTCCAGTGCAGTGCAATTGCAAAAAATTGTAACATGCAGTTTTATTCTGAAGTAAACTTTATGTTTGTAACACTGCAATTGTGTATTTTATTTTAAATTTAAGTATGGTATTTATTTCATTTAAAAAAAAAATCTAATTGGCCATCTAATCAATTATTAAAATAATCCTTAGTTGCAGCCCTAGACGATTATAAGGAGGTGGGACTCCTAGATGGGGGGCGGGGGGGGAGAACTGAAGCTTTAATATCACATTCACATAGGGGTTCATTTATCAAAGTTCCACCCAGATGCTGTTCACATGGCACTCAGGAGTATAAAGATTTCCTATACTTGTCAACTCCATTTAGGGTTGCTAGTGCCATGGCACGGCATAGCCGGGCAGGACATTTATAAACGAGCCCCATAATGTGAGCTGATATGATTTGTATTAGCATAGAAATTTGTTTTCTTGTAGAAAGGTTATATTCCATTTCACCACGTTGTCCTTACTGTTGACAGTGGCAGTATGTTGATACATGTTTGAAGTTATATAATGTATTTTTCCATGTGCTGAGATTAGATGATGAAAGACTGTTATCTGTGTCTGCCACACGTCAACCTGTTTCCGTGTGAATATTTCTCCCCTTGGTCTCCAGAGAGCCTTCCATACAATGTAAATATAGGGACACTAGCTGGGAATGGTGATCTTATTTTAGCAAGTAGCATATCCTGTGTACAGACATGAAGCAGACTGTGCTAACTGCAATTGCTGTCCTTTTTATACAACTAGGAAAATAGAGTTTTAGTGTATTTAAAGTAAACCATGTAATTCCCTTTGCTGCGCCATCTAAAAGAGCCTAAGCTTAGAGGCTGTTAGCTGTTTATTGCTTCCTCTGTCATGTCTCTAGCAATCCCTGGATAGCAACTGTGAAAACTCAGGCTGGAAAACACACTTTTAAAGCTTAATTTTACAGTCTAGGCATTCTCGAATGTTGTTACATAGGAGAGGACAGCAGTCCTCTACTACCTGAAATTTTGTTAATGCAAGAAGCACAAGCAGAATAAGCAAATCTGGTTGGCCAATATACTGTACATATACACTGCCTGGCCCAAGAAAAAGTCACCACCTGGATTTAGCTAAGTAAACAGGTGAGAGCCTTCCATTGGATAATTACTAGGTTCAGCAACGGTGTGTCCCCATCAAATAAGGGTCAGCTGCCGACCTGAATATGCTGAATGACCAGGTTTTTCCATCAATGGATTATTTCTTCCCTGATGGCACGGACATATTCCAAGACGACAATGCCAGGATTCATCGGGCTCAGATTGTGAAAGAGAGGTTCAGGGGGCATGAGACATCCGTGACCACGCAGCAATCGTGCACAATACCGCGCGGACTGCCATGTGGTCACGGAGTCGCCCACCACCAATGTTCGCGCTGGCGGTGCCATTATTTTCTAAAGGCACGCGTGGTTTCCCGCTGCGATTGCCCCCATACAACCGAATACGATCGCAGCTAAAACAGCTGCGCGTTGCGTATTGCGAAAAAAGGTACATGTGCCTTTTTTCTCAAGCGCGTCCCGGATTTCTCAGGTCTGCACCGGCCCTAAAGGTGGTCCAATTAAATATTATAGTATGTGACTATTATTGGCCAGGCAGTGTAGAATAACTAAATAGGAATATTAAAATGAGAATGTTTTTAATAAATTGCTGGTTTGGATTATTTTAGGTGTAGCAGATGTCATTTTCTTATCCCTGTGTACTAAGGATGACTTGCAGGAACTTTGAATGGCAAAGCTGTTTATATTCCAAGTATAACATGTGAACAAACTGGTCAATGTTTCTGTTGCCAAAATACAATTTAGTTATTCTCCTAATCTAGAAACAGTATGTAGTATAATCTCTTGTCTGTCAATCTTCATTTTGAGAGGAGGGAACTAACAGTAAGGTGTAACTTGGATTGGTTAGTAAACACCTCCAAGACGATGTTTGCTGCCTCTGCTCCCCAGTGGAACACCTTGGAACCCCCTCATTATTCTGCAATGCAAAATACTAACACGCTTCCTACCTCTGGCTTGACATTTCCTGCCTTGTGCACCCTACTGCTAGTCCATGTCTGTGATGGTTGGTCTTAGTAACCAATAATATGGTGCAGGGGATGGAAAGCGTTAGGTCAGAATCGGTGATTGGGTGCTGTACTGATTCCCCCCACTGGTTTGACCAATAATAGCCAGTAGGCGGTGTGCCATGTTTATACCCCACAGCTATAGTTTCTTGAAGGGCATCAGTCACACAGCGCATCTATTGTGTTCTTTAAGCAGGTTAAAGCCCAGCTCCATCTTTTCCCCTAGTGTCACAGGAAGTGGAGTGAATGACACTGGGCATCATTTAACTGGGAAGAGAAACGGCTTTATATGCAAATAGTGGTCCTTGTTTAAATGTGTATTTTATTTGCAGTGCCAAAATTGTTGTACATCTTCATCCACCTTCTCCAAACAAAGAACCTGGACCGTACCAAACTAGCCGCTACTCCTACATCAAGCTTTCGTTTAGAGAACATGGTCAAATTGAGGTAAATATAATATGGACTGATTGTAAACTATATGTGTGTATCTTCCTAATTAAGGTTCATTAAAGTGTATCAACTGTGTGATATACAAATAAGCTACAATTTTTTATACTAGTTAAGGTGCTTGAATGCATTTTTAGGATATAACTTCTGAGTTTAATGTCAGTTTAAGGACATGTGTTGATGAATTTCTCCACAATGCCTATAGCTACAGAGGTTAGTAGGGGCTTTTATTTAACCTGCTGTTACTGATGGTTGAAAATATGTTATTACTTTAGTGCACATGATCTGGGCACATTAAACCGCCAAACAAATTCTATTTTTCCTGGCAAATTTTGTCTAAGAAAGATCGTTAATACAAACAATCTTTCTTATATGAATAAACGTTCAATGTTTCTTAAGCAAGACCTATCAGTCTTTTGCAAGTTTACCTTAATAAATTTCTGACCTGTAACAATAAATTAAAGTAAATATACTGTATATAAAGGTGGAGTGACTTTGCTTAGGCACAGTCTGTCAAAGGTTTGTCCGAGAACAGAATGCTGAGTTAATTATGTCATCGAAATCTGCTGCAGTCAGGCGGAAAGTTTTCCTCAGATTCCTCTCCCCCGGTGATCACTCACTTAGAGTGTACATTGTAAAGTCACAGATGAGAGACAGTAGCGGGGAGAATGAGGTGTGTGACACATATACACAGCTATTTAGTGCAAGAAGTAGAGACAGATGCTGGCAGCTGGCTGACCAAAGGTGATGCCTGTCTTCTATCAGGAAAGGAAGATGAAGGAATTGCCAGGGGGAGTATCATGATCTCTGTGGTGGATAATAAATATCTGAAGGTGGTGGGTGTGGCCTGCACTGGGTGGCACCTTCAGAGGAGGTGACACCAAAATGACTGTAATTTTGATGTCACCGCCCTCTGAAAAGTTGGACACTCAGTCATGGATCGAGAGCCCAAAAGCTGCACGAGAAAGGAAGGCAAAGAATGTCCCCTCCTCTCTGCCAGCATCCATAACCAAGTTGGCCGCCTGCAGTGAAGTGCATGTGTGCGTAATGACGTCACCTGTATATGTAATGACATCCGCACCAGATGAAACCCGGCGGCTGCACTGCCTGCTGATGCCACTGTTACACTTACCCATTACGTCGCTTGCATGCACTTAACGTAATTATAAATGCATCTGTCACCAGGTGGCTATTTTTTTAGGTTGCATTGGACAAACTTATATCTCCCGTATAACCTTTGTTATATAATGGCCAGGAAGGTGGCTTTCTGCAATGTAAATCATTGATCAGACATTACTGACAGAAGAAGGAACATGGTAATCTGGTGGTTGAGAACCTTGGCACTCCAGCTGTGGTAAAACTAAAAATCTCATAATGTCTCTGCCTCTGGGAGTCGTGGCTGTCAGTCATGCAATGCGCTGGTAGTTACACCACAGCTGGAGTGCCAAGGTTGCCTACCCTAGGATAATCTATTGGAAAATATTATATTTTCCATGTGTTAGCAGTGTCTGTAAGTAAAATTATTGGCCCCAGAATCACTACATTCATTTGTTCTATTGGTCTTCTAATTAGTTCAATAGACGACTTTCAGAGGAGCTAACACACAGACGATGGGAACGGACATCACCCTCGCCCTCTATTCAGATGAACAAAGGTCCACAGGTAAAGTCGGTCTGTCTATCCTACACATACAAATGATACGTATTGTCCTGAGAATATCATCTTATGACTACATACATGGATATGTTGAATACCATATGGCAGGGCTGCGAAGTACAAAGACTCATTGCTATCAGAAATCCCCTGCTGTGGGAGCTGTTGAGGTATATAGATATTGGTTGCAATAAATAACTGCTCACTGTTGTTGCGCTGCTGATATCCTGCCTGCAGAAGGAGTATATGGCAGGTTCCTGTAGAGGTAACATGGTGGCTAAGTGGTTAGTTCTCTTACCCTGTCATTATAGTGTTTTCAAATCGGGAGCCCCCCTTCACACCAGAGACCCCACTTTTTTTTAAATAAATTCTTTATTTTGAAATGTTAAAACTTTTTGTAGACAAAAAAGATATTATTAAGAACAATTACGAAGAAGTAGCAGAGCCCCCACTTTAACATCAGGGTACACCTTCATAAATGGAGCCCCCTCCTTTTACATCTGAGGCCTCCTTCTAACAATAGGAACCACCCCCTCATCACATCAGAGTCCCCCCTTCACATCACAAGCCTCACTTTCACATCAGAAGCCCCTTTTGCTGTTTGCAATCAGACAGCAAAATTCAGCCTAGACTTTTCCCTTGAGGACAGTTGTCTGGGATGCCTGATGAGATCTGAAGGAGTTCAGATAAAGATGACCAGCGTGTTGAAAATTCTTCGTATGAAACAACAATTGCTTGAACATTCTTTTTATTTCTCTGCCGTGAACAAGAGATGCTAAAATTTCTCACGTGGTTTGCTTTTTTTTTTGGACATAGTAATTGTAAGGCTCTATGGACACTTTCTACAGCACAACCACAAAATGATTTGCTAGTAAACCTTATCCGTATATCACACAATAACATCCAATTTCTGACTGTTCTCTGTACCGTGTCATGTAGCATATGTGTGATCATTACCGTGCCATGTAGCATATGTGTGATCATACCTGTAAAGAGCTTCCTTCAATTCTATAAGTAGGCTCTTTTCTGACATTTTGTTCTCAATGGAGCAAATGGATTCCCTGAGGATACCCATAGCTGGTGCTTGTTTGTCTGGGACTCATCCTGTACCATTAAACCTGTGGGGCATCAGGAAAGTATCATTCTTGATATACAATAAACTGTTTGCAGATTAAATTGGCAGAGATACCAGTAAATTAGTAAATTACAGCCACTCCTAATCTGCCTTGAAGTCAGCCCTTGAAGTATATGTCTTTGATGTGATGTGATGCAGCTAGATATTAATTAAGAAATCATGAAATATTTATTTTTCAAATGCAACTAGTGTGTAAGTACCTGAACCTGATCTGGTATTGAAACCTGTAGAGAAAAGGGCAGGGATGTATATATCTTTATTTAATCTGTGTATTTAGTTGTTTGCCTCAAGTTCATCTTAATGATAATAACCAATTTGGGATTACTTTTGCAGAATCTAGGGAAAGTGAACCCCATTGTCACCTTTTTTTCCCCCTTTTGTAACATAAGCTGCCTTTCCATTCCCATTCAAGTCATTGTGAATGCAAAAGAAACTTATAAGCAACTTTAAAGTGTATTTTCACTTTCGCAGCCAAATTGGCACAACACCTATCTTATATTTGTTACATGTTCCTATTCACATAGCATAAGCTAAACTCTTTAAACAATGCTTTTTGCAGTTTAAATTGCTTTTATTTGAGTTAGTTTCTTAAAGGTTTACATTTCTACTTGGTTTCTCCATCTTTGTAATGTTAGGAGGGGTTTTAAGGGGTGAGAGGTTAAAGGATTACAACCCTGGCTTCTGCATTGTATGTTAATTAAGTTAATGAGAAAAACACAATCCTACAATTTCCTCGAAGCCAAATTGGGAGAACACCTATTTTATATTTGTTACATGTTCCCATTCACATACTATAAGTAAATGCTTATTGCAGTTTAAATTGCTTTTACTTGGGTTGGGATTACTACATGCTTCTCCTTTTTCATAATGTTAGCAGGGGTTGAGAGGGGTTAAAGGAATACAGTCCTGGCTTCTTCTTGTATGTTAATGAAGGTAATGCGAGAAACACAATCCTTAAATTTCAGTCCTGAGTTTTTCTACCGTATAAGGACAGATCACGGTAGGAGCTAGGAAAAACTTGGAATCAGCCATGTTACCTGCTGCAACAAAACATCTAAAAGGTAAGAAATATTTTTCCTTTTATAGGGTGTGAATAGGAACACACAACAAATATATAGAGGGGTTTTGTAAAATTGAATTACACTTTAAGCAACTGAGACGCAAAATATGTGACTGAAAGAATCTTGGAAACACCTTAAAGCAGAACTGAAGCCAAATTGTATGTTTGTTTTTTTTAGTTTTAGATAGAGTAAGGGAGGATGATAGCCCCTGTCAGCTTTTTTTGCCATCTGTATCCCATTGGGAATATTTTCCATTCACTTCCTCTCTGTTAGACACAACAGGAAATGAGAGGAAATCCCTCCAATGTGAGGGGAATCCCTGGTGGTCACCAGAACCAGTGTCCCCATTGGAAGATCTCTCATGTGTTTCTTTTCGGGTAACATTTTCTTTCGCCCTCCGTGATAACATTCACCAGAACAAATAGAGAGGCTGAAACGGGGGCACAAACCGTTACAAATCTGATGCATTCTAATCCTTCTCCACTCTATCCAAAACAAAAAAAGTTTTGGCTTTAGTTGCTCTTTAAAGCAAACTGCATTTAACTATCTTCTGATAATTATACCAATATACATGAGCCTTCAAGTGTATTTCCACTTTTGCAGTCAAATTAGAGAAAACTCCTCTATATATGTGTTGTGTGTTCCCATTCACCTACCAAAAAAATAATTTCTAAAACGATATTTCTTACAGTTTAGATGTTTTGTTGCAGCAGGCAAGATGGCCAAATCCAGGTTTTTCTCAGCACCTTCACTGTGATCTGTCCTTCTAGAAAGATTTAGGGCTGAAATTTGAGGATCTTGTTAACTTCATTAACATACAATGCAGAAGCCAGGGCTGTAACCATTTAACCTCACAACCCCTCCTAACATTACAAAGATGGAGAAGCCAAGTGGAAGTGTTAACCCTTAAGAAACCCTAACTCAAAAGCAATTTAAACTGCAAGAAGCAGTTTTTAAATATTTATTTTTTAGCTTATGCTATGTGAATGGGAACATGTAACAAATATACAGTAGGGGTTATCCCACTTTGGCTGTGAAAGTGGAAATGCACTTGAAAGTATATGTCAGGACAAAGAAAGAAACAAACACACATTTGCAATACATGCATACTTGCTCATGTTTTATCTATTAGGAGACCTTGCAAGTGTAGACAAATACCCGTTGATCTGCCAGAACTGCTCTCGGCTCCTAAGTCCTGTTGTGAGCTGACAAACGCATAGCATTTTTGTAAACTGAGTGGTGTCAGCCCTGCCCAGTTTTCTCTTGCCAAACTACTCAGTCCCACCTACTCCTTCATCTCCACAACATAAAGGATAATCATTTTGTAGTTCCAAGTAAGAACTAGGAGGGCCGATTACTCTCCTTGAGATAACAGAGGAAATGAGCACTGGACACAGGACCGCTCTGAATTTCTGACATGAACAAGAGGCTTTTTTGCACTTATCAGTCGGATATAACTAAACACTTTCCACGGGACCGAAAGGGAGCAAATAAGGTTTATTTTTACGGTTACATACACTTCACTAGGAAAGCAACTGGAATGCAGCTTCCATGGAAACCTCTTCACCTCCTTTCCTCTACTTTTTACTAGGGTTGCACAGATACCAAGTACAGTACTCGGTACGAGTACATGTACCGATACTTTTGAGCTCCAAGACTAGACTAGAGAAAAATAAAAAAATTAGGCGGCAGCTGTCATTTGTAAGGAGCACACGGAGCTCCTGGGATTTGTACATCTCTGTTATAATGTGTGATTTTGTTTTTTATAAATATAAATAAAGGGATGCACAGATACCAGTTTTGCGAGTACGAGTACTGGTACTTGCCGAGTACTTACAAGTACAAGTACTGATACATTTTTATTTGTCATGTGACAGTTTTTCGAAAACAATACAGACTAATGATTTCAGGACAGTGGTGGAGCGCCAGAGCCAGGTCCCAGCTGCAACCCTGGTAGTTCTTATGAAAATGCCAAGTATCTGCACTGGTACTCGAAAAGTATCTGTGCATCCCTACTTTTTACTAACTGGCGCCATCTTTTTAAGGAAAAACTCTAGTTTTGTTTTGAAAAGTAAACAACCTGGTTCAGGCCAGTTCTAGAACATTACAAAGGATTTTAGAAAGCGGAAATACAGATCGTTTCGCACTTCTGTCCTGTAAATGTGAAATTCTACAGAATATGTATCACTGGATAACCCAAGGAATGCAAAAAATCAATAGATCATTTCTAGGTCAGGCACAGTGTGCATTTATTTTGTTCTAAACTTTGCTGCTTTTCAACGCCCCCCCTTCCCACACTGTACAAATAGCATTAAGGTTTCCATTGTGAGCTGCTGGACTGTTTACAGAGCTATGAACAATGCTTAGGCAGCTGGTCCATGCATATTTACATCCTGTAAGTCATAATTATTTCTTTCATAAAACTTGTGCATTCTGCTAAGAATGGTTTCATGTTCCTTCCTCTTCTATGTTTCTCCGACACAGGCTGGAAGAATAAAAGCGGTTGGGATTGTTGGCATTGAGAGAAAGCTGGAAGAGAAAAGAAAGGAGACTGACAAAAACATTTCCGAGGTTAGTGTTACACTGACCCCTCTCAGAGTCCAGACTGTGACGGGTTCAACCTTGATGAATTAGGAGACTTATGACTCACCAGCTTCTAGAACTACAAGTCAAAGCATGTCCAACCTGCCAGCAGGGGTGCTCCTAGCCTTTTTGGTGCCTTAGGGGTGCGGGATGCTGGATGGTGCACAATCAGTGGGAGGGAAGAAGGGGGCTGCTGGTGGAGAGTGATGCCACTAAGAGCCGGTCGGGAAGATGTGTAAGGGTTCTGCATCGCTGACGTCACTGGTTTCCAGGAGCTCTACGGGACCCCAGCATGAGTGTCCCAGCTTGGTAAGAGCTGGGCGGGGAGATGCGTATGGCCCTTACACATCTCCCTGCCTTGCTCTTAACAACCTGCGACACTCAGACCGGAAAGTTTTGGAGGGGAACTGCTGCAATCCTTACCGGAACCCCTATGTATAAAGGAGGGTGCTATAGTAATCACGGATGGCGCCGTGCATCTTCAAATATATGATAAATGTCACCAGCACACCTATGTCTTGTGTCAATAATCCATCTTCTTTATTGATGCAGACTGTCACAAAACTCTGACCGGAAAGGGGGGCGACAGGCACATTGCATACATTGTGCAGCAGAGCGGCTATGCTGCTCTGCCTGCCAACCTCCCTCAACGTGACCCAAAGCCCCAGGCTGCCTTATTATAGGGACGGCCCTGCTTACCAGTGACACTTTACCTTGTACTTAATATTTAATTAGCCTATCGCATACCTGTATGTAACAATCCTTAGTTATGGTCCTGTACTTAAATATTTTAATTATATTATGTTTTATGCAATGCAGGCTGGTGTTCTATTAAAAAAATATGACCACAGATGAGCAGATGCCTCACTAGCCAAAAATGACTAGATAAAAATAAATAGCCCGTTTAAAAGATAAAAAAAATACCAAAAATCAACAGGCTACAATGTAGCTCAGGCTGCAATACTCGCCTTCGTTTCTAAACAGTCCCACGCAGTACTTCTCAATCACCACAAGGTGTCCTCAGTCTTTCGTAGTTGGATGACACCCATTCTAGATCCCATTTTCATGATGTCCAATGTTTCCTTTGTGTCTCCATGTGTATCCTATCCCATATCCAGTCTGTTCTCTTATTCATTCCCTGTTTGAAGTGCTTCCCATTCATGGGGATTTTCTTCTATTGTTTTGTGTCGTTTTCTAAGAAATCCATGTAGACAATACGCAGCTACATTTGTGTTACTCATACTAGCTTTACATAGCTGATGCCTGACACAGCTTGCATCTCATTCTTCTTCTGGTAGGTAAGGAATGCAGGTTCTTATGTAGTAAATGGCATCACCCAGCAGCTTTATCTTTCACATATTTTTGCTCCAGTTTGCACATGGATGCAGGTTTTACTGCACTGTTGTATTACAATAGAGAACACAGCTAACAGTCAGCCATACAGATTAATTTCTATCGATTTTGGATATGAAATGGTACTTAGAAAACCTGAAGCCAACGTGGATCAGTTGTCTTAAAGCATCATTAAATTCAATTCATAAATCAAAAATGTCATATTTGCTCCAGCATGTCATTTTAATATCTCATCATGTATCTTTAAATGTCAATGTCATTTTAGACCCCATAAATACAGTTTGAATAGAGGCTGAGGACTACATGCACATACATTTCTTGTATGCCTGTGTCCACATTTCATTCTGCCTTTCTAATATCTCCCATACTAAAGCACTATGCTCAAAAGCTAGTACAATGGGGGGGTTTTCCCACTACTCCCTCACAGCTCTTCCCCTCCTCCGTAATGTCCCATCCACATCCCTGCCCACCTCTCTACTTTACCAGTTGCATGTGACATGTGGTGCAAGGCATTGTGGGACATGACCTGGACTGAGATGGTCCGGATGGCCGAAAAACCAGTAGAGGCTGCTACTCAGTAGAGGCAGGGATATGCAGGGTATTTGGAGCATAATAACAAAGCCTTTTTGTTTATGTCACAATGATTGTTGTAAATACCTAATGTCATGCTGGTGCCTTTAGATCTCTTTTAACAACCACTCAAATATTACTTTTCAAATAACAAAAGGAATTTGTTGCTTTTGGAATTTGCAGCACTTTTGCTCCAGTGTTGTTTTCTCTGGCTTCTGTAACCCACTACCTTAACCCCTTCGCTGCCACCGACGTATCTCATACATCCACAAGCAGGCATCTGTAAAAAAAACTCCTGGCGGGTGTTGCTGTCGTCTTTACTCTGGAGGCGATTCGGACAGCTGTAAAGCTGCCTGATTGCTTCCATGGGGCTAGTAAATGTGTTCTCCCATCTTGTTTCCCAGGCTTTGGTGCCCCTCCTGTGGGCCCAGGACCAGCATCATGGGTGTTGGCATGTATAGAAGAGAGAGACCGGCGAATATCTGTTTGCTGATCGCTAGGGATGATACTAGTACTCACCAAAATGCTCTGATGCCTAGCCCGATACTTCCGGCTCCATGCTCTTCTACTCCTTTGGGAAGATTTTCCACAAGGTTTTAGCGTGTGTCTTTGTAGATTTTTGGTCCGGGAACAAACTGTTCTGGTGCGCACATGGTGTGAATAAGCCTTTAATGAGCATTGTCACCCTAGTTCTGGACGTGTGTTACTGGCTGGTTCACCAGGTAAATATAAGGCTAGGTTCACACGTAGGCTAAACCCACGCAATATCTGAACAAAACAGAGTCAGTTGAGGATGTTCACACCTTTGCTTTGCGTCGCGCGGCCAAAATCACATGTGCAAAAAAGGCACAGGAGCTCTTTTCGGCGTTTGTCGCGCAGTTTGGGTCCCATAGACACCTTTATGCATTGAAAACGTGCGACAACCGCACAGTTTTGAAAACAAATTGCTCAAACAAAACCGCGTAAAAACAGCTCACCAGCTCAATCGTGTAGGTGTGAACCTAGCCTAAAGGAGGAAAAAGTGGGGGGAAAAAACAAATGCAGCCACCACATCTATGAAATGATGAGCTGCAGTATATTACATTTTTGCGTTTGGGTTTAGATCTGGTTTAAAAAAAAAAAACTCTAAAGAGTCAGTTTGTAAAGCTCCTGTAATGTTCCTGTAAAGACCTGAGGCTGCTCAGCGTAACAGAGGTCTTTTTTTCCTTCCTCCTGGAGTTTCCTCTGGATTTTCCTGTCTGTGAGCACTCAAGATCACAATTTCTGCTTTGAACTGCTTTTTTTTATTGCGATCTTCAAATCCGATTCATCTTGTTATTCCTAGACTACTTCTGTTACAGGAAACAGTCTGGGAAAGGTCTTCAGCTGCCTCGGGTCTGGGCTTCTGGTGTGCTACTGCATCTTTTAAGGAGCATAGGGCTACATGTAAGGCATGCCTCCTGCTCTCAATGTATTCATTGCTGGAGGTACAATATAAAAATATATAAACACATACACTGCCTGGTAACAAAAAAAAAAGTCACACACTCTAATATTTTGCTGGGCCGCCTTTAGCTTCGATTGCAGCATGCATGAGATGTGGCATTGTTTTTGATAAGCTTATGCAATGTCACAACATTTATTTCCATCTGGAATTCCATAAATTTATCACCAAGATCTTGTAGCGATGATGGGAGAGTCAGACCACTGCGTAAAGTCTTCTCCAGCACATCCCAAAGATTCTCAATGGGGTTAAGGTCTGGACTCTGTGGTGGCCAATCCATGTGTGACAATGATGTCTAATGCTCCCTGAACCACTCTGTCACAATGAGCCCGATGAATCCTGGCATTGTCATCTTGGAATATGTTCGTGCCGTCAGGGAAGAAAAAATCCATTGATGGAAAAACCTGGTTATTCCGTATATCCAATTAGGCAGCTGACCCTTATTTTATGGGGACATAACGTTGCTGCACCTATGCCCTGACCAACTGAAGCAATCCCAGATCATACTTTTACCTATTTGCTTAGCTAAATAAGGTGGTGAATTTTTTGTTACTAAATGAACAGAATAGGTGTGTGTGTGTGTGTGTGTGTGTGTGTGTGTGTGTGTGTGTTGAAAAGACATTTCAGACATATATCAGATGTGCATATATTTGAGTAATGAGAGCATATAGTTTTTCTTTAAGCTGAAATCTAGGCACAAAAACAACCATTTAACTGTATGCCGAGATATAAATCTACTTTGTGTGCACCAAATGCCTTTTCTAACCCAGTCATTATCATATAAAGGTAGTGGTGAAATCATGACTGTTCTGTACTTAGCCTGTGCAGAGAGCAACCCATTACAAGCTACCGGCAGAAAAGTAGAAGGGGCAGATACAAGACAAGTCACCCTGCACAAGGAGAGGGAGCAGCACTGACTGGTCTTTTTTACAGAATGCTCCTGCACAAAGGCAAAGATTCACACTAGATGCACAGATCTGAAAGAAATACACAAAGCTCACCAAGTTCCAAGGAACTCCATGTATTTTTTTTTTTTTACTTTTTCTTTATTCAATTTTTAACAATCATACAAACAAACGAACACACAAAATTAAAAAAATAAACATAACCACATTCAACATACTCCAAGTGGTACAGTACATTAAATATAAAAATATCTAAATATCAGAATTCTATTATTCTGTTTACATAATAACCATTACACATTCATCCCAGGCTCGGCCTGCCCCCTTATTCCCTTCCTTCATGTTTCCACTCCTAAAAACTATTCGACCAACTAAACATTCCATAATCGCCCTGAGCTCAAAATATATTGTAAAGCTAAGGCTGGGTTCACACCTAGGCGTATTGAATATGCGCGATTCGCGGTAAAAAAAAACGCGCGCCACGCGCGTTTCCATGGGCTACTTGGCTGTATCCCAATGGAAACGCGAAACCAAAACGCCCCAAAGAAGCTCCACAACGTTCAGGTGTGAACCAGGCCTAAAGCATCGGGTGCTAAACCTGGTGCAGAAAGCCACCCATTCCACATTCTAAATCATTTTTTAGGTCTTCCTCTGCATTTGATACACCAATTTTTCTTTAACCCCATGTATTTAGATGATATTTGCTTATCCTGGATTTCATCTTTAATTGTGCATGGATGAAAGCCTACATATTTCTTGCATGTAATAGAAAAGATCTGAAGCTTCTCTTGCTCTAGTTATACATTATATGGGCAAAGGTTTGTGGAAATCTGACCATTACACCTAAACTATATGAGCTTGTTGGACATCCCATGACAAAACCATGGGCATTAATATGGAAGTGGCTTCCCCACTACTTTACTACTGTAACAGCTTCTACTCCTTTGGGAAGATTTTCCACAAGGTTTTAGCGTGCGTCTTTGTAGATTTGTGCCAACTCAGCCAAAAGAGCATTTGTGAGGTCATGTACTGATATTGGATGAGAAGACCTGGCTTGCAATCAGTGTTCCAGTTCATCCAAAGATGTTCAGTAGGGTTGAGATCAGGGATTTGTGCAGGCCGCTCAAGTTCCTCCACACCAAACTCCTCAAACCACTTCTTTATGGAGCTGGCTTTTACAAAGACGTCCCGGAACGCGGCAAAACACACTGCACTTCATGTGCAGAAACTCATGCAGATCTGGTCTAGAGGTTGGAAGCACACAGCCATCTAAAATGTCTTTCCATGCTGTAGCATTAACAGCCCTCACTAGAAACACCTACACTCAATCATTTGGAGGGTGTCCTCCGTATACTGTACTTGGTACATGCAGGCCCGGCGCTACCGCAAGGCAAGTCAGGCGGCCGCCTGAGGGTGCTGCAAGGTGAGGGCGGAAAAAACAGGGCATTTTGACAAGTACTTGTCAAAATGCCCCGATGTTTGCGCTATCGGGGCAGCTGCGGGAGATGTTTGCGCTATCGGGGCTGCTGCGGGAGAGCAGCAGCGAGTCAGCGCTGGTCCAGTGGGAGGAGCTCCAGGTGGGGTCCTAATTTAGCTGGCCGGCGACTGCCAGAGGATCCCGACATGCGCGGCACCTCAGGCAGTCGCCGGCCAGCTAAATTAGGACCCCACCTGGAGCTCCTCCCACCGGACCAGCGCTGACTCGCCGCTGCTCTCCCGTGCCGAAGGTAAGTGAAAAAAAACAAAAAACCATAGCGCAAACATCAGGGCATTTTGACAAGTACTTGTCAAAATGCCCTGTTTTTAAAGGGGGGAGGGGAGGGGCGCAAAAATGCACCTTGCCTGTGTAGGCAAGAATCCTAGCACCGGCCCTGAGTACATGTTTTCAGTTTTTGAACCTGTTGTTTTGCTTGTATTGTTCCTGTTTCTGCACTTTCATTCTATATCCACTGTTCATTCATAATACTGTATGTCATGAAAATCACAGAAAACCATTTGTTAAGTGGGGAGACGACCAGCCACAGTAGTTCTAATATGTGTGGCTGAGCTGTAATTAATGAGTCGACATAGATGGCTCTTGTGGCTTCCTGCATCTGCTGCTGGCTGCTGATAAGGCTACAGAGCTGCAGTATTTTGTTTATGTGAGGAAGTTCCTGTTAGGTGTGTGCCTGTTCCCTTTTGTCCTTACTTCTCTATCTTGAGCGATGAGTTGTAGCACGTTACTAATTAGTCCTGGAAAGCATCTAATCTGTTAGCAAATCCCTCTTCAGACAAATTGCTTAGGGATGTCTTTACAGGTAGGCTTCTGTTAACCATGAACATTTGACAAAAGGAAAATGAACTACCTGGATAACGCTTGTTTTTCCATCACAGCAACAACTATGTCTGTGCAAATTCCAAGTGTTACTAGTTCTCTGGAACACCTTCCTGAGCATGAACATAGGCAAACCAGGGCGCCCCCAAGTTCTCATCTCCAACCATCTGTTAAACATTAGAATTAGAATTTAATATAATTGCCTTTGCCCCACCTTCTATACTGCAGGGGCATGACATGGCCATCCTTCCAATGAGATCTCAGGGATTGCACACTATCTGAATTTGATTCTACAGGATACTGCAATACTTCGCAAGTAGTTTGGCCTACTCAGCACTCCCCGGGATCTTGGCAGGAAGCATGGTGGCATCACCCTTGCCTAGGTGCCATGGACACAAGCGGGGTGAGGTAAGCATGGTGGCATCACCCTTGCCTAGGTGCTACAGACACAAGCGGGGTAAGGTAAGCATGGTGGCATCACCCTTGCCTAGGTGCTACAGACACAAGCGGGGTAAGGTAAGCATGGTGGCATCACCCTTGCCTAGGTGCTACAGACACAAGCGGGGTAAGGTAAGCATGGTGGCATCACCCTTGCCTAGCTGCCACAGACAGAAGCGGGGTAAGGTAAGTATGTTAACTAACTTTTTTTCACCAGCAGCTGTGGTTTTATGGATTAGTGCAGCAAATCAAGATGGGTGAGGGGGCCCTAAGTGAATAAGCGGACCTTGCTGCTCAGGTAAAAGGTTCGCTATAAGGTTTAGGAAGTCTGTAGAGTTCACTCTCTTCTATCTGTTAGCTGAGGGGATGTTTGGTGTCTTCAGTTTATAAGGCTTTTCACTCTGCATAGTACTACACTGCATATTCCAGGTCACTTGGCCATTAGTTGGGTGTTTGGTATTTTTTAGATGTATGAGCCTCTGTGCCGGGCTTGGAAAAAACAGAAATTCCATTTTGTTAATAGTCCAGCACACTAGCCACATACTTGGTGTAGGGTTGCAACAACTAATCGACATAATCGATTATAATCGATTATTGAAAAAGTTGTCAACTTTTTCAATCATCGATTAATCGGCTTCCGATTGGTTGGCCCTGTTCACGGCTCCACACACGCTGCGCGCCACACCTCCTCCCCACCTCACGCTCGCATTTGTATTCCTCTATAGCTGATGGTACATTGTGCGGTATATTATACAGCACAATGTACCATCAGCTATAGAGGAATACAAATCCCAGCAATACATTATACACTGTATGTATAATGTATTGCTGGGGTTTGTTGTACTCTTATATAGCTGGTGGTATTCTGCATTGCGCTGTATAGAGGACTACAAATCAAGGAATAATACATTATACAGCGCAATGCGGAATACCACCAGCTACAGAGGTGTACAACAAATCCCAGCAATAGTACATTATACAGCGCAATGCAGAATACCGCCAGCTATAATAGTACTATTTCTGGGATTTGTTGTATTCCTCTATAGCTGGTGGTATTCTGCATTGCCCTGTATAATGTACTATTGCTGGGATTTGTAGTCCTCTATAGCCGATGACATTCTGCATTCATTGCTATATAATTTTACACTTTTCATTTCACTATATTGCACACCACACTTTTTTTTTCTTTTTTACTTCCACCGCTCCAAGCTTGCTCCTGTGATGGACTGCAATCTCAATACAAACTAGAAGTCCCATCACTGGAGAGCCATTTTTAAAAATGTATTTTATTTTATTTTTTAACCGATTTAATCGAACTTAATAATCGGCTAACCGATTTTGAAAATAATCTCAGCTCTAACTTGGTGATTATATTATCTTGTGTGTTCTGTTTCTCCTTTTTGTTGATGTCCTTTGTATTTTGCTTTATATTTATATGTTTTAGACTTTTTTTTCTATTTTTCACTTTAAAAATGTTTAAATGAAATACTTTACCTCACTGCATTAAAGCTCTGTTCAGTTGTGCAGTGGTTTACCCTCCGCCCCGCTCGATCATTGTCCTGCTTCCATACATCCATTATAATGTGTTCATAGAGTTACCGTTCATCTGATTAAAGGTATCACAGTACCAACATGGTTTGTCCGCTAGCACTGCAGGTAGTTTCTTCTCGGACACAGTTCTAGCAGGGATCATGTTGTTGTATGGTGAATCATCCCACTAACTATATATCGGTTCTTTATTTTCTTTCCCAGGCCTTTGTGGATCTGAGCAAGCTGATGGAAAAGGTACGCTGAAACATTAATGTGCGTCCACGTCCAGCACAGCCATTTCCTGTCAGCAGAGCAGTGAAAGATGGTTGTCTTAATTATTTTTACAGGCCAAGGAAATGGTGGAACTGTCCAAATCGATAGCTAACAAAATCAAAGACAAACAAGGAGACATCACAGAAGATGAGGTATGAGGTTGTGTGCTCACATGGGCTGCCAGGTAAAACGGGGAAGAAAAACATCCCGATATTTTTATATGGACTATTTCCAGGAAAACCTAAAGCTTGTATCTGGCATAACATCTGCACCTGTTATGTTTCCGGATATCATATATAGCACGTGTTCTCTTCATTTTATTATTCAATTTCTATGAAGGTCCAATTCACATTCCATACAGTCTGTCCAGGTTAAGAAAGTTGGTCTGATGTACGCAAGAATCTTAAAGTCATTTCCTCTGTCATGTGGTGTAAGAACTAAGATATAATGAAATTGAACCTGTGCTTTTCTCATGCATGGCAAGGCAACAGGTTTACTTTAAAGAAGAACTCCGGGCAAACCAAAAACATACCCTTGTAATCGGGCCGCACTGTAAGGGTTATAGTACTAATAAGGGACAGGTGATTTTTACTGTAATGCATTCTCTGCATTAAGTTAAATAGGACCCAGCACCTTTTTTATGCCACCCTGTCTCCAAATACCTCCAGTCGCTTGTCACCTCCGCTGGGTCGGGGAAGCTATCGCTGTTCCCCGAACTTCCTGGTTATGGGGGCGGTTACTGAGGGCAGAGGAGCCATGGGCTCCTTCTGCCGTCAGTCAGATTGAGTGGTGGAGGGAGAGCAGGGCGTGGCTTGCTGCAGACTATGTGTGTCTATGGACGCACACAGCCAGACGCGGTCACAGCACAAGAGTGCGCATGCACAAGTGTCTCCTCAGCACCCGGCTAGCTGAATGAGACAACCCCAACAAGAGGGGGAAGGGGAGTGGTTTGGCAAGCAACTAATGAACAGAAGTACAAAATCATGTAAGTGTGGGCTTTCTCTTTCTAAAAAGGTAAACAAAAACTTAAAGGTTTTATATCACTTTTTAGTGCTTGTTTTGTCTAGGGGGCTCATATAAAGCTGTTTTACTTACCTGATCCTGGCTCCCACAGTGGTTAATGCTCACCACTCTCCCACTCCACTCTGGCTATGGAATGTCCCTCAGCATCCTCATGTGTAATGCATGTCAATGGACTTGCAGATGTGATGACATCAGCAGTCCTTAGAACGCCGGAGCCCAGGGTAGAAGGGACTGCGGGGACAAGTCTAGCAGCCCAGAGGGAGCCGGGATCAGGTAAGCAATTTTGCTTTATATCAGCCCCTAGACCAACGCGAGCACTTAATCCTTACAGTGGCGGAGCAGCCCCACTGCAAGGGTAAGTTATTATTTGTCCGCAGTTGTTCTTTAAAGGCAGCACAGTCGTTAGCGGTGAGCACTGTTGTCCTCCGTTGAATTCCTAGCTAGCACACTATCATTATACACTAAATCTCTACAGCCAATTACATTTTTTTACTTTTCCTTCTAACCTTACGACAATTTATTAATGGTATGCGCTTATATTTTTTAGACAATTCGGTTTAAGTCCTACCTCTTAAGCATGGGCATTGTCAATCCAGTGACCCGTGAAACTCATGGATCTGGAACTCATTACCACATGCAACTGGCGAAGCAGCTGGCCACAATGTTACTGAACCCATTGGAGGTTAGATATGTATTTTATATTTCTTCATTTATGAATCTATGTATGTTATTCATTCAGATGCCGCATCGTGTCCTAATATGTTCTCCTTTTCCAGGAACGAGGGGGTATAATGTCTCTTACAGAAGTATACTGTCTAGTTAACAGAGCCAGGGGCATGGAGGTAGGTATGGTATATGGAAACTGGCTATTCTCCTTCTGTCAGGTTGATATGACTTGATTCCATAGTACATCACTTAACACTTATGTGCTCAATTCAGACATGAAAATGTTGCCATTAAAGCCGAATTCCGGCCCCCTTCCTCCCCACTTGGTACACCCCTATTGCCTTTTTTTCTTCTACATTTTTGTGTACATAACTTTTTACTGTGGGTCTTCAGTCTGGTGTAGTATTGTCCTCAGACACTGAATGAGTCCTAAGGCCTCGTTCACCTCGGTGGTGAGGGGGTGGTAAAACCGTGTAGTTGATCTGCGCTTTTATTGCCCCCCCAGCCGCCTGCGGCAATGTCAGCACTTTTACAACAACACTCCCTCTGCTGCACTGAAATAGGAAGCAGTGTTGTCAGCCCTGCAGGGGCTGTAGGAAGCAGTGTTGTCAGCCCAGTCTCCTACTGGACTACGTAATGCCTCCCCCAAATGTTGTAGAAGGGAGAGTGGTGTTCTATAGTCCAGATCAGAATAATCTTGCACTTCTATGACAATCTAGAACTGAATATTCAGATTCAATCCCAGTCGTGACTTGTATATTTAAAAAGACTACTTCACTGACTATAGGGAAGCTAATTACAATAGCTTTTGTACTGAGTACTAGTGTAGTGCCATCTGGTTATAGATACTTGTTGGGGAACTTAAAAACACATTTTTGGAATCTTACAGTAAAGAGTTTTTATTATAACTGAAAACAGAAGGAGAATTCTAGTCTTACAGTAGACAAGTGTTTCATGCGCGTGTTGCTATCTTGCAGTTGCTGTCTCCGGAGGATCTAGTGAATGCCTGCAGAATGTTTGAGTCTCTGAAGCTTCCTGTGCGGTAAGAAACCTGACATTTCCTCTTCTGCCCTTTTAGTATGTCCTTTGTTTTCTGCCTGCAGCCTGTGCCCCAGGCCTGCCATTCTCAGATTATTTTCCTTTTTATATGGTAAAGAATTGTTGGATGAAATCCTTAAGCAAAGCCTCTGTTCCAACTTCCTCTTTCATCTCCCACTCAGGAGCATTGTATTCATTCACACTATTATATAGACGAATACCAGTCACTGTTCTTATAGCTGTATATCAGGATTTCTAGCCCCGGAGCTGATGGATTCTGCACGTAGACAGCCAGCTGGACAAGCAAGTGGTTCCAGTGCTAAAGTCCGGTAGGATCCATCATAGCTGCAGAGTCCCGGTGCCATTTGAAAACTGCTGGGACGAATTGCTGCTGTTCCAGAACCATTTTTAAAAATGGCACCTGGGACTTGAATGGTTAAAAATAGTACAATACCTCTGTCCTGTTTCCTTTTAGCAATATCCCCAAGGTTGTGCCATCCAATGCCTTTCTTTGTCCATCTTGTATGAGTCTTGGATCACCAAACCTGGTTTAAACCGATCTCCCTTCCAATAGCTAAATATAGAGTTGTAATGCACAAATATGTTTGATTCTGTCAAAATAGTCTTGTGGTTCCCATGGTCATATAGCGATACACAGCCAGCTGAGAGACCTCACTGTTTCTGATTGCAGTTTTGCCTTAAGAATCTCCTTGGACTATGAATGAACATATGCTAAGCCGCTCCCTAAACTCTGATTCTCCTGCAAGCTGCTAAAACACCCCTTCATCAGCTACTGGTGCCCAAAAAAAGTTTTTTCATATGAACCTTCATACGTAAATCTACCACTGTATGGCCAGCTTTAGTTTGGCAGTGTTGTGTATTGTGTTGAAGGTTTATTTGGATCAAAGCCCATAACGTCCTTCTTTGTGTGATATCTACAGCACAGAGATTGTGGAAAGATGATACGCACACATTTTAGATAGCTATAAATGATGTATTTCTATATAAATGTCTCTTTCTCTCCCGTTCATTGAAGGACACAGGGCAACAGATCGGAGATCCTGAAAGGTAGGGTATATCGCCACCTGCAGGAGTAGGACGCTAGGCACATAACAAAAAAGACTTAGACAGCCTAGGGGCGGCCCCTGCTGGTGGCCCAACCCCCCCACCTGCTGACAAGTCTCCAGTTTTTTGCCTAGCGTCAGGAGTAAGGAGCTAAAAAATTTTCTCTCTGGAAATTTTCTTCTCCTTCTTCCGTTTTATTTTTTGTGATCTGCTAGCAAGTGTCACCAGGGCGACGTGCTGGATGGTGATGGATCCTGGTAGTCTCCCCTGGGTGGCCATACGTTTGTCTGCAATTCGCGAGTGTCAATGACGGCGGTCACCCTTAGTCGTTTGTTTTGGCTGAAGTGCTGGTCGGCTGACCAGGCTTCCAAAAAAGCTCTGACTGACTCCTTCTTTACAGTTGCTGGCTTTGACTGCGTGGCTGTTGAGAGCCAGGTGCTGAGAGATAGGGGGTTGTCGGATGCATATGTTGAAGGACACAGGATTCCTCAACAACTGGGTTATACTTCTGAGTATTGGACACTGGCAACAAAAAAAACTGTCAACCCATGGTATCTACCCCCTCCCTTGACCAGTATGCTTCATTTGTTGTTAGTGCCCTATGAGGATGGCAGTTTTTTTCTTAGCTCCGCTGATCTCAAGATTTAATCTTGGCAAACTCATGCATTGTATGTACATGGGCCCAGAAGGGGAACCTTGGCATCTAGATCCACAATTTCTAGGTGGATCTACTCTACCAGGGCTCACTCTACCAGCGCTGTGACAATGTCTTGGCCATTTCAGCATCAGGCCTAGGTTTCCCAGGTCTGTAGAGCTGCCACCTGGTAGTCTGTTCACATGCTTCTCTAAGTTCTACCAGATAAACAATTCATCCTCCTCTGATGACTCTCCTCAGGTAACGTTTTACAGGCAGCTCGTTGAACTGCATGCTGTCCCTCCTTTTTTATTTTTGTTGTTGGGCCTTTTAACTTGTGTTGCCCACCTCAGATGGACTGCTTCTGGACATCCCAGTTGTTCGAGAATCCCGTGTCCCTCAATAGACTAGCGAGGAATTAAGAATTTTGAACTCATTCTAAAATCCTTATTTAAAGCCTATTGCAAGACATAGGTCCCTATTTTATTTTTATTTTTTTTTATAAACTTTTTAATTTTTTTTATTCATTCTTTATTAAATATTTTTATTTTTTACTTTACTTTTAGGGGCTTCAGGGAAGTATTAGGGGTCTAAACAGACCCCTGATATTTACATTTTAAAATAGAAAAAGAGATTGAGGACACTCAATCTCTTTTTTTCTGCAGCCCCTGTTATCAATGAACAGGAATCCTCTATACTGAGTGCTCCTGATCATTTATAACCTGAGGACAGAGTATATTTACTATAACCACAATCATGAATGAACAGGAGGGGATATAGATCACTTCCCATTCATTCATAATTGAGGCTATAGTAACCATACTCTGTCCTCAATTATGTACAAACACTCAGCGATCGGCTGTTTTTTTGACCAAAGCTGGGCCATTAGGAACGTTTTGGGGGCAGGAGGGAGTGGGCAAGTTTGAAAACTACCCAACAGTGTTGGAACTTTGTCCATTCAGAACAATCTGGCATTTGGGAGTAGAGAGGGCAAGCAGAGCTCCTGCAGATATGTGTAAGCACCTCCTCATCTTTTTGTATCTTAAGAGAAATGTAATCTGTAAACAGGGTGGTCTTATTTGTGGATTAAAGAAGAGAAATTACAATACATCATGCATCATGCAACCTTTTAACTATATGCAGTATATATTTTATGTTTAATATATTTCTGTTAATGGAGAAGTAGTGTTCGTTGTGTGGGTATTGGTGAGCCGTCATTTGATTTAATTTTGCTTTACAGGCTGCGTATTTTTGATAGCGGCGTCATGGTCATTGAACATCAGTCTCACAATGAAGAGGAAATGGTTGCTGCTGCTTTGGAAACGGTATGACAGTCTGAAAGTTCTTATATGTCTGGATGTTTTCTACCTTCTGTGTTCTTCAGTGCCCCTAGTGGAAGGTTCAGGTAAAGCATGCTGAACGGGCCAGCTCAGATCCTCCTCCAGGCAGGGTCCAGGTCACCTGCCAGATACAGGCCCAATGTGTTCTACTTCTGTCTGAGGGTCTCTGTGTCTTTGTCAGACATGTCTGGATCAGCTGAAATGAGAGCCATGTGTGAGACATTTGTATACAATCTCTATATGTACTTGCTTAGGGCCCATTCACACTGGTGCGATGTGTTAATCGCGCAGTTCCATTTGATTAACACACTGTACGGCGCAACGCACCTATCATGTGTTATCAGTGCAGGAGGTGCGTTGCCGTTCATTTGAATGCACCCCAAACACACCTCTGGCCCGCAATGTGCTTGATTGCGCTGCAACGTGCGGTACTGCAATACCATTATGGTGCAATTAGAAAAAAGCAAGTGCGTGCAATTAATGCATCAAATTAGTGTGAATGTGGCCTGAAAGATGAACTCCAGGCAAACCCATAAAATACATGTGCTTATATACCCACCAAAGCATTCGTATTTGAGTCCATCCAGTCCTGAGGTTTACACAGCTCTACCACATACCACACAGTGCAGCCCTGTCAGGCAGGTCAGGAGAACCCTTGGTTTTATGCTGCAATTAATTAATATAACTCTGTCTTTTCCCTACACCCAAACTGTGATTGGATAGAGAAGCAGCAGACTGATAACCTCATCTCTCTCCTCCTGTCAGCATGCTCCTTGTTAGCACATGAGCGCTGAAGAATAGCAGATTGGCGCTTTGTGCTGCTTCTGCCTCTCCCAGTCTGAGCTCTGCTGCACAGGGGCTGATGCCAAGTCAAAGACTGTTTGCCATGAATAAATACATTTAATGATGTATTCATGAACACAGAGCTGCGCTAGTTTGTGTCTTGATACCTTCTTTGAGTTCCAATTTAACTTAGCTGTTAAACATTACAAAGTGTCACAAAGTACTATAAAATATTCCTGTTTTTAATAGGTATCTGAAAAGGGATCATTAACCTCGGAGGAATTTGCCAAAATTGTGGGAATGTCTGTGCTGTTGGCAAAAGAAAGGTAATTTACATTTGGTTAACCGCCTAACGCATTTCTAAAAAGATGAAGCCAAATGCTGAAAAGCCCAACTTCAGCCAAAAAGTCTTATTTCATATTGGATAGAGGAGAGAAGGGTTACAACCTCTGTCTGAATTTTATTGCTGGGGGGGGGGGGATTATCAAAATTGGAGCAGCTGTGCATGGCAATCAATCAGCTTCTTTCTTCAGTTTGCTCAGTTCAGGTTTGAAAATGAAAGAGAGAAGCTGATTGGTTACTCTGGGCAACTTTCCCTCTGTGTGTCTAAGGACAGGAAGTGATAGGAAATGTCTCCAACACTCAAACAAAAACTCTTTTTAGTAGAGGGGGGAAGAGGGGAAACATCTGACAACTTATTATATTGCTGTATACTTTAGTGGGATTAAAAGTATAGGAAAATCCCAAGTTTTGGGTTGTCACTGGAACAGAAATAGAGAGAAGAATCTTGCCATGGGTACACTTGTTCCAGCGAAAACTAAGAGAAGATTTTCTTTATTTCCGAGAGATCTTCTCTTTCTGTTTTTGTCTTGAGAATGAGGTAAAGGAATATTTCCCCAATGGGACACAGACAGACAAAAACTTAAACATGTACAGTACATTGGAGGTGTTGGATTCGGTTTCTCTGGTTGGTCGAAGTCAGTCAAGTTCATATGAACCTCAATAGCTCCACTGAGGCTGCTCTCAACCCTTGTATACCCTTATCTAGAGGATCAAAGTTTAAAATCCCATGTGTAAAAAGTCTAATGAGAGCGCCAGACCAAAGATCTAAAAAGTCCCAAAGCTTATAATCTTAGTGTTTCCTCATGACAAGAAAACATCAGCTTCTAACGCGTTTCACAGGTTGACACTCCTTTTTCATCAGGGCTTATAAATGCTGTGGCTGCACTCAAAAGGGCGCTTTTAGCACATGATATGCATATAATAAAAAGCAGTATTGGCATTTATAAGCCCTGATGAAGGGGGACTTTCTGAACCCTCTAAACGTGTTGGCTGTTCTGGTTATGAGCAAACTCTGATATTAAAAGATTTTGTTTTCTTAGGGCCCCTTTCACATGGGCGGTCCGATCGGGTCTGCCCGTCAGTTTTTCAGACAGACGATTGGATGCCTGATGTAAGTCTGTGCGCAGCCTTGTGTAAGTGGATGGGCGTCCCTTTACACCCGGTTACCCCCAACTCCGGCCAGGTCCGGAAGAGCAAACGGATCAGAGATCTGTTTCCATGGACCTGAGCGTGCCGGATTGGGGGTAATCCGATGTAAACGGACACATGTCCTTTTACATCCGATTCCCCGTAGACCAACATGGGGTCCGGCAGTCTGTTTTTTCCTCCATCGGAAGGTGGAGGAAACAATTGTACGGACACGGATGTCACAGCGGTGACACATAAGGGAACACACTAGATAATAATACTACTTGCAGAGTTGATCATTGTGTTGTCCTTTCCCATCATCTAATGGTACTGTTGTTTTTGCAGACTACTGCTTGCAGAGAACATGGGACACCTCTGCCGGGATGACTCTGTGGAAGGCTTACGCTTTTACCCAAACCTGTTTCTGACGCAAACCTAAAACCCTTTGTGGATATAGGAAACGTTGGAGGACATGTCATACAGTGTCGTTTGCTGTGGAGCTTACAGGGTGTATTGTCTGTGGATGATCATGTAAAGGATATATAAAGAAAATAATAACTTGTATGAGGAAACTGAGAGTAAAATGGACTTCTCACTCCGAGTTAACCTCCCACTAGAGCTCAATGTAAAATGCAATGGAGAATCTGGCATATCACCGTAACTAAACCGCTGACAAGACAGACAGACAAACAGGGCACATTGCCAGTTACTCAGACGGAGCGAGTCATAAGCAGAATCACATCAAAGAAAACAGCGCAGCTCACCCTACATGCGTGTATTAGATGATGCATCCAATGCACAGAAACCCCATAAAGATAGCCAGCAAACAGAGTTCTTCTGAAATGGTCAGCAGCTATGATGAAGGCAGAAACGCGTCAGCAGTTGTCCTTTTTTTTCAGATGCTTTTGGGATATATGGTAACATTTTAGAAGAAATGTCATATTTATCATCATTCTGTCTTCAGCAGAATTGAAGATTGAAGCTGCTATTCTCTGTCTTCTGGGCTTGGGTCCCTGAAGCTTGATATTCTCCCTTTTACTGCATGCAAAGTCATTGCCCAACACTATTTTGAAACCCCCAGGAGGCAGAGAACAGTAGCTTCTGACTGTGACGCCTCGCACATGTATGCTTCTTTATGATGGATTCAATTTCAAAATGGCTTCCATCCCTGAGCATATTCCTGTGAGTAGATCTACCAGCCTATTGTAAATGATCACCAAGTGGCTTTGTCTGTCCATGAATAAATCACTGTGGCTTGAAGTCTATTCTGACATACAGTACTTCGATGAATCAGACCTTTCAAGGCCAGACTATGATGACGGAGTGGCTTTATTGGTTGTAGTAAACTTTCTGATTTTTATGTCAACAAGTGTAAAAATAAAAATCAGTGTTCTAGCTGATGTCTGCAAATAAATCCTTCTTTATATCAACTACAGAGCCGTTGTCTTATTTTATTTTCTATTCGGATAGTATTTTGTGGTGCTGTTTACTACAATCCGGGGTGCCCAGTAGTACTTTAGTTCCTTTTCTGCATCTCTCTCCAGCTTAAAGTGAAGCTTTCAGCCATTGTTACCAG